GAATGGGAGTGCCAGGCAGGAGCAGTTGCGCCGCCTGCCGGCCAATCTTCAGCTCCTTGGCAACCTCATCCACGCTCTTTCCCTTCTGGAACAGATCGCGGGCTTTCTGCTTCAGCTCTGGTGTTAAGGGTTTCTGTCAAAACCAACGATAATAAATGCGAGAAAACGTGAATTATTTTTTTAACTCAACGTTTTTCACTGTGAGTCTCTGTGGATAATTCTTTTAGAGAAGAATCAAACACGAGAAGATGGTGAATAACTATTAAGAAAGTTGAAGCACCAGCAGCTGTTCTCGTCCTCATACAAAAATACAGTTTTGTTTCCTTAAGCTTACAATTTCGTTTTTTTGGCCGGCTTCCGCAGTACTAATAAACTGAAAACAAAACACCACGGTTAATGCGCAAAAGGTTAAATATAAGCTGTTCGTGAGAATTATTTAGAAAGGTCACGAAGGAAACTTACCACGGTAGCCACCACGGCCAGGAGGAGGATGCACCATCGCAGAAGATTCATGTTGCCGTCTCAAAGTAGGTACTTACAGGTTGTAGCAGAGAAAAAACCTGACTTTGGCTTGTGAAGGAACACAGGTTTACTTTGCTGAAAAGTGAGCAGAAAAGCTTCGTTTATATACCAAAGCGGAAATACTTCCTAATGAGAAATGTCTAATTGAGAAAAATATTTTTGACAAACATATGTACGCAAACACTAGACATTCATGGAAATTGCTGTTTTTATGAATAAAAAACGACATGAATGCCATTCGTGCCGATTTGTTGGTGAATTATCGTTCGCGTAATTCTCGGATTTGGCGTGTTCACATGCCGAACCTGCAATTTGTTATAGTACCGGATAGCACAATTGAGACTACAGAGTGGGTGTACGACAAAAAACACCTGCAGTTTTTTCTAATGCTTCAGGATAGTGTTAACTGGCAAGCCACAACCTTGCAGTTGCCTTTCTCCGTACACACACTCTGTGTCGCACTTATGAGAAATCCTACAGTGTACTCGTACAGAAAACGATCGAGTCATTTTCAGTGCATGTAAAAAAAACATGCCCGGCGTGATCGCGCTGCAGCTAGCACGGAAATCGCCAAAGGGAGCAGCAAAGAAAAAAACAACTTGTTTTTTGTGAATGCGCTGATAATGTATGTAGTATGTACTGGGGTTAATGGGAACTACCCATTCGCTGTCATGATTACCGGCGACGGGTTGCTCATAACAAAATTTGGTCAGTGGTCAAACCGAATGTCTTTTTCACATTTCGTGGAGTTGTACTCTGTATTAATTAATTAGTGCTCTTTCACATTTTGCTGGGTTATTTCTGGAAAAAAGCTTACCGTATCAACGATTACACATCTCTCACCATACCGAGACTTGTCATGCTAGTGAAATTACTCATTTTTGCAATATGTTACTTCCTGTGTACAGTATATTCTCACATTACGCACGGAAGATCACTTTTTATTTGCTCTTGCGAGCTAACGTCAAACGCAGAATACTGTCTCACGCCCTGTTTGGGAAATTTCGAAACGTCATAAAAAACATACTTTTTCCATAAAAACGAATGGTGCTGCTCACCGAATGGTGCTGCTTAACTAGTATTTAACCCGTCAAACGCTTTCAAGTTCGTTTACTTCAACTTTTTTCTAAGAGACCTTCGCACAATGCAAATTATTTTTAAATAAAATGAAGTTTCTACCGGAATCTGTGTACAGGACAAATTGCCGTGTGATTTAGCGCTCATGTTTTTGGGTTAAGACTTTAGGGGCACGTGTTTCGCAGTGATCTGATATGGTTCTGTCTCATCTGCAAAAGAAACTACTACGAACTGCCGAAGCCGACAAAACAATCGCTGATAATCAGCTTCGATAGTTTCTTGAATGCGCCTGAACTTTTTTCCTTCTATTCCTCCTGCATGCAGTAAAGGGAGGAATGTTATATAAATCTGAATGTTTAAGAGAGTTTCACTATATACGTAACTCACGTAAGTGCAGTAAACCTTGTGAGTCTGATCACCTCAAACACGGGTTTACAATGGGCCCGGGCTTGGACAAGCGCATCTCGTTGACAGTGATTAGCTATAGTGGTGCTATAGCGGATACTATAGCTAGTGCAGCTGCTTTTCACACTGAACACCTTGCAAGAAATTTGCGTGCTCAAAATCAACAAAAATTTTGAAGTGCACTGTATAATGGACTTCGTAAAGGTGGTAAACCGTAACCCCGCGGCATTAGCGATGCTGCCTATACGCACGGGTGAGTATGCGCTAACAGTGAACACAGTCCTTTCCAAGCCCAATGTACAAGTGCTTTCTGTATCTGTATATTATAAAGCACATTTTTATTACGATTAATGCTAAGTGCTTACCGCAATATGAATGCGTTATACATGATGCAGATACATACATACACTGATCACTTTAATCATCTTGATCACTTTCATAATCATCTTCATTGTCAGTTGTTTTCATTTATGTTGGTTTGAAAAGTCCTTTATGAAAACAAACATTGTGGTACAAAATATCTATATAATATAAATATACTTCTACATTTACTGAATTACATACAACTGATACTGAATTACATACAACTGATGCTACCTGCATGCAGAGTTGCTGCGACAGTTCGACAAAATGATCATCGACTGTCTGTCCAGAATTACCAATGTGGATATCACCGACGCCATATGGATGCAAGCGGCACTTCCGGTCGTACATGGTGGTCTCGGAATCCGGAGCATTGAGAAGCTGGCCCTCCCGGCCTTTTTGGCCTCGGCTTACTCGGCAGGGTGTAAAACCTGGCAGTGGCACCTGCCAATGGCGCTGCCAGTGGCATGGCAAGGAATAAAACCTGGAGACTCTGGCAGCCGGTAACCGATAAAAGGTGGCAGATGCCGCACAAAATGTGGCGCACTCAATAAGCGGGTTAAATGTGGTTGGTCAACCGCATGATTTTTTAAGATGTCAATATTCATAGGAAATTAACAGCATTACTGGTCATGCATAAGTGCGTAAGTAAGCGCCGACATACAAAATTTTAAAAGCCACACTGTGTTCCGTTGTTGCGCAGAGTACCACAAAAAAGAATGACAATGTGCGTTCAAAATACAATCGCGTTGCTTCCTGATCTAGGAAGCACGCCTCTGAATTATTGCTTGCGCTTAAACGCGGTGCTGTTTTGGTTAACAACCATAATATACACTTTTTGATCACCTACAGGCCCGGAACATAGTGCAAAATCGGTGTACATAAACGGTCACTCTGGCTTAAGTGCACCCCAAACCCTTTTTTCCCTCGTTCTAAATAATTCCATCTACAGTATAGTCAAATGATAAGTATACAATTGTGTGAATACCGTGTACGGGCGCAACGCCCGGTGGGAGAGAGCGTAATGATAGAAAAAATGTCACTAGTCTGAACTCTGAGCGCACAAAAAAATAAAAATTTTAAACGAGTTATACAAAAGTTTCATTATAACATAGATTACCTGTTTTCAAATTCTGACTGCAAAGGCCCACTACCCTTTAAATTTTAATGAATATTTTTCGTCAGGTTTATTTTGAAATTTAAAAATAAAACATGTTTTTGGAACCAAGCTCAACGTAAAAACGATCGTTTTCATGATAATGGATGTTTTTGTGCAAGATTTAAAAATCAATTTATAATAGGACTTTTTTGCACATCCGTATTTCCAAACTTATGGAATTTTATTTCGCCCATAACGGATTTTATTTCTCCCGAACGGATGTTGCGCTCTTAAACTGTCTTCACGCCAATGAGCATAACTCATTTGTCTATAAAAATGTCTCAATAAAAAGCCGAAAAGTGCTTGGAAGTGCACCGAAAGCAAAAGCTACCGTACACGGTTCATCTATGCGTATACGAATTCGTCACCATGTACCGGTACACTTCCATTAGCGAGGGGCTTCCCGAACAAGTCCGCGTCAGATCAACATACAGCTAACGCTTCGAAAGAAATCAGCCACCATATCCGCGGAGGTTTCTCAAACATCTCTGAAATCGAGATCTTTACTTGGATATGTTTTCATTTTCGAAAGCAATAGCTGAATTTCGAAAATTCTAATGTAATACCAACTATATGCTGATCTAATGCGGAGGTGTTCGGGAAAGCCCGCCGTAAGTAAAAGACAGTAGCAAATACCGGCATTGAGCTGCGGTACATATTATCCCGAAAGCGAGCAAAATGACCTTTGGTTATACATAGTTTATGCTTGAAACTTGGTTTTTCAAAGCGCAAAAACCTTAGAGCTAACTTCATCTTGAATTTTCGTGCTGCAGAGTGCTTCCTGTTGACTGTGATATTGAGGGTATTTCCGACTTGAGATTTCCATGTACAATAAATGTCACATGAGACTGGTTAATTGGGCATAAAAGGTACAAACAGAAAGTAAGATAATATGTACTTATCATTATTACTTACGCAAAATGGTATAATAGTGGAATACTGGAAACGCGGATGTGCACAGACTAGCACGAATAAACTTTCAAATAGTAATTTAGTTCACAATGCACATTTCATGAAATTAACGGTATTACGACAGGAGCCGGCAATATTGCAGTAGGCGTTCTAAAAATAGCGTCATACTTAATGTAAAAGTCAGATGTGAACGTTGCAGGGCAACGGATTTTAATGTGAGTGTATCTAACATCAAAATGTACCGTTTGGGAAAATCTGCCTGTGTGGTCGTTTATCATTTATGTTATGTACAACGGGCGAAATGATCAGCTAGCAAAACAAATAAGATAAGGATAGCTGTTTGTAGAGTCACCCTTTAAATGCACAGTCTGTTTATACGAGTACAAGGCGCTGGTTTTTTTGGAATAACAACGAAGTTTGACCTGCACGTATACAAACATAAGCCGAGCCGGCACCATAGTGACCGGTTGTCTGCAGTCAAAACACTAATGTAAATCGTGTCACAAAAACGGCTCCACTCAATATTAAGACTTAGTATTAACTATCCTTTTCACTGTTGAAAGCGTTTCGTGATGATTTACAAATTACAGCTGCATTCTAAATTACACTGTAGTTTTTCTTCTGCTCCGAAACTGTTCGTCCTCATTGTCAGTATTTATACGGCAGTCGTGGAGTATTACTGGGTACGTTCAAAAGCATTATTTGTACAGTGTTGAACATTACCAATAAATTAATTTTATTATGACTGTAAAAGTACAATCACCAGACCATATTTTATTAATAGTACGATTAGTAAGGATGGAGTATTGATGCGGATGGTTAATAATTAATTATATAATAATTATATTGTAACTTTATTCAGTACGTTTAACAAACGGCAACGCCTTGCGTTCACATGATCTAAATGAAAAAAACCCTGAAAATAATTAGCGTGTTATTCTCGGTTAGCACCCCGCCAGTATAGTGCTGCCGTTGTGCTAACTTTTTACGTATGGTGTATGTTGCAATTTCAGTTAAATTTTATTCTCGCCTGACGCACTGTGCATTGTGTGCAGCATACGCTTCATTCAAATTATTCGGACAAAATGGGTTAAGTAAGCAACTGTGCTGAAAACTTAGAAATTCAATAGCTAGTAATTAAAAAGCAGAAACGATCGGTTTAAACACATAGAGCAGTTGATCTAAATTAGCCGAAACATGTTGCCTTATGGCTTATGTAAAAATGCACATAAACACTCAAATCGTATTGCTAATGCAATTTTGGACATAATCATTCTGCCTCTTCCCAGCAGTGCAACGTTATGCACGTACAGCATGAATTTTTTATTCCTTCCCGAATCAGTCTTCTGGAGAGGGAATAAATGATACAAATTAAAATTTGGTGTGTGTTTATGTGCGAATAATTTTGCTTGCTGCATTGCAGTCTTCTGCTAAAATTCGGATATCCAAAAAATAATTGGTAAAACCAAATTAATAAGCCAGCAAAACTGTGCTCGACGTTCATATTCCCAGGCTGCTAGCTGTTCACATAAAATCTTATCAGATTTGTTTTTAGTTCAGCAGAAGTGCTTAAAATCGCCGGAGTTAACTAAGGGTATCTGTACTTCTATCCATCACAAGTTAACTACCAAATGCGTGTGCGTAAAAAATTAAGAATTCATTCATTCATCAGTCAACCGTTCTTGATTAACCGATTAACGTACCCGTATTACCCCGCTTCACGCTCAACCGCAAGTCATATTCCAACGGTTTGCCTTAGAGATCTGGAAGTGCCGTGATTGTACTTGTAACGCGTCTAGTGATTCTGTTTTCTTGCGTTACTCTGTGCAAACGGAGAAATGCAGCGTGACCTTTTGAATTTCTGTATACCGGTATGACTTCGTGCATGTCCAGCAGTGGCGTAACGAGCCTGATAATTTGGGGGCCATGGTCCACCCCAAACAAATAGTTATACTGGACATTGTTCAGTAATGGTGTTAACACTTTATGTAAAGCTTACGGTGTACTGGCAAGCTGATGGTGTACTGGTAGATTTTCATAAATTTTGCTTTTGACCAAGCACTCGAGCCCGCTTATTAGTTGTCCCATATTTTCTGTGGCATCTGCCACCTTTTATCGGTTACCGGCTGCCAGAGTCTCCAGGTTTTATTCCTTGCCATGCCACTGGCAGCGCCATTGGCAGGTGCCACTGCCAGGTTTTACACCCTGCCCGGCTTACTCAGTGGCTAAACTGACAAGCGAGTTAGTGAATTTCGACCCGGAAACTTACTGTCGCGGCGCTACAGAAGAGTGGCAACGAATGAGCAAAGCTGATCTCCCAGCCATTGAAACCAGAAAACACCAGAAGATTTGGGACGAACCAATCATCCGGGACACGGGGGAAACCTTACTGGTGACAGCCCAGTCGGACATGTCAAGTGAAGCCCGCCTTCGAGGTGTGAGCACCAAAGATAACGGTGCATGGCTGGAAGCGCTTCCAGCCGCATCCCTCGGCAACTTCTTAAACGACACCACACTCAGAATTGCTGTCGGCCTGCGTCTCGGCGTACCAGTCACCATTCCACACCGATGCAATTGTGGTGAATGGGCAGATGCACGAGGATACCATGGCCTGAGTTGTAAAAAAAGCCGGTGCCGGAAGCCCAGACATAGTTGCATCAATGCCACTTTAAAGCGTGCTTTTGCTTCCGCCGGTATTGAAACGGAACTGGAACCACCTGGTACTTGCCTCACCAATGGCAAGCGCCCGGACGGAGTGACCTTGGTTCCGTGGGAAAGAGGAAAGATGTTGACCTGGGACGCCACATGTGTGTGCACGGTAGCTTTGTCGCACATCGCGGCAACATCGAAGCAAGCGGGGGCAGCCGCGGCGCGCGCAGAGCAGGATAAAGTGGCAAAGTATCGGGAACTCACCCGAGACTACCTGTTCCGTGCAGTTGGCGTCGAAACACTCGGACCACTCGGACCGGACGCCTCTCGTTTGGTCACCGAAGTCGGGAAGATGATACAACAGGAAACAGGCGAGGTACGGGCGACGGAGTTCCTGCGCCAACGGATCAGCATCGACATCCAACGCGGGAACGCGGCCTCAGTCATGGGAACAGCACCAGCATCGGCTAACTTCGACGAAATGTTCTGCGTGATTAGGCCGCCCATTTCAGTAATCGGCTGAGCTGTTTATTCAGTACAAATCTTTCACTTTTATAGAAAATTTGCGACAAATACTCGTGTACCTTGAGTTTTGAAATAAAATAATTTGGAGCGACTGATACAAGACACAAAGAGAACTGTGGGCAGCATGTGTCGTTATGGCAGCCTCCAGCAGCCTGCACTTACACACACAACTGTGTCGAAATGACTACACTCTACAGTACTTACGAGTTACGACTACGAGGTACCAAATCATAAACAGTCCACTGTTTTTCAATTTTCACACTGCCTTCAAATTTAATCTTTACTGAGTTTGCTCTATAGCATTTTATTTATTTCTTTTACAGATGAAAAATAGGATAAGTTTGTCGACGAGTAATTCTACCAAAATTGCTGATGAATCTGTGAGCATGACGGCTCTTTGTTGACTCCGATATCAGCTGTCTATTTTCAACCCCGACAACCCGTAATAAAACCATGCTGATTTCTCCGCGCATCTTTCATCCTCGCCATTTCGCTGCTCTCGTCCTCCCCTCATCTCCCACCCACCCTCCATCCTGCAGATCCTTTACCCGACATCTTCCCCATCATTCCCCGCAGCGCTGCGTGCATTCGCAAGCCAGCAACCCGCACCACGCGCCTCCCAACAGCGAAGATGAAGCAGAGACCCATTTCGGATTCCAGACGGTGTCCTCGCGCGAAAAGACCTCCAAAGGTGTGATTTTCGTGGCAATCGTCCGGGGAAATGTGTACAAGGTGTGGGTTTTGCAGTGCACCAGGTGTTCGAGCAGGTGGCCAGCAAGTACGACCAGATGAACGACGCCATGAGTCTGGGTATTCATCGTCTGTGGAAGGACCAGTTTGTCAGGATGCTCAGTCCGCGGCCGGGCACGAAGATCCTGGATGTCGCTGGCGGCACAGGTTAGCAAAGTTACTATTTATTTGTCAACTTTTTTTGGCTTTTTAGCAGACTGAACTCATGCAGGTGGTTGGGAAACATTTTCACAGATTTTCATAAACCTTTTTTTTAAACCTACGTTAAAATAATGCGTTTTTGTTTTGCACGTATTTTCAGCAAGAAATATCGTAGATTAATGGCTAATACTTGAATAAACTAGTCGCTGTTTATAATGTTACAGATGATAAGAAAAAAAAGCCTTCATAAATTTTCTATATTTTTTTCGAATACTATATTTTCGCAATAATCTAAGTAAATTCTTCTAAGGAATTTTTCCCGCTTTCTTTCGACAGATTTGACTTTCGAAATTGTTTACAGTTTCCGATAAATGAAACCATTGATTCAGGCATAATATTGTTTTAATACATAATACGCAAATTTGAATTCAGATTAGTTAAGAAAACAAATAAAAAAATTAGGCAGTAATTCGTATTGATTTTACCGTAATATATTCGTCGAAATTGTTCAGTTTTTGAATTTTCTCTTTTATTTCGTTTGTTAACTGTTATAATATTTTGTGGTTGATCTGTTCAATTCTGGTTTTAAATAGGACTGAAAATCAACGTTTTCCTAACTGTATTTTTTCCATTAAAAGTCTGCAATTTTTGTTGATGGAAATGCGGAATGAACGTACCCAGTTAGCTTTAATTTGAAATCAGTCGATGCTTTCAAGACAAATGGTTGTGGACGATGGCGTAGTGTAATGGCTGATGACCACAGTTGGATGCCTGCGGTATACGCTCAGTTCCTAACGGCCAAATCTGTTATAAATAACGGTTAAATTTCATGGTTCATATTTTTTTGTAGTTCCATCTTTTATTCTCCCGATGCACATAAAGATCCACTTTTAAAAATTGCTGGTGTATTTGACAAAAATGAATCATTGGGCGGGAGCATATTGTTCAATATTTTTCTGGCTGCACGTTTTGGGCAAGCTTACAGCTTTGTAATGTTAACATTAATTTTAAGCTGATTACGGAGAAATTGGTCGAATTAAATGTTAATTTAATAAAATCCACTTAAAAATGACGCCGTATTAAATTATCAATAACTAGTAATGTTCCAATTATTTTGTTGTATGTATTTTATAACAGACAAGACACTCCAAAAATAAATTTAAAATTTGTTTTTACTTTCACATTTTTGTTTCCTTTCAAATCATTGCGAGGGCGGCCCATAACCGTTTGGATTTCAATCCTTATTTGGTCTTCTTGGAAATTTTATTACGACTATTAGCAGAGGCTTTGATGAATAAAATTCAACAGGGGATATTGCCTTTCGCCTGATCAAATACATGGACTACGTGCAGCAGCAGCGTCCCTTTGGATCCGCTGCTCAGCCTCGCCACGCGGCGCCCACGGAGACCAACGAGCTGGGCCTGCCGGTGGAGAAGGAGCCCCCGGTGACGGACGCCTTGCGAGCGGATGTCACGGTCTGCGATCTCAGCCAGTCCATGCTGGACGTCGGCAGGAGTCGCGCCCAGCGCAACGGACTGGATACGCGTAAGTTTTCCCAGAAGTACTCCTTTTTTGGCCGATTTTTTCACGACTGGTGCTGGCTGCGGCCGTTATCTGTGCTCCTAATTTTTAGAAGTTGTTGAAATAGTATCAAGACGAAATGCTGACAATAAACATCATAAAATAACTATTATTAACGAAAAAAATAATGGAAAACTTTCGTAATAAGGACTTTTCTTACGATCGTTAAATTTATAAATTAGCAAATGAAGCTTTAAATTTAGTACACACGTGAATATAACATTATATAAATAAAGTAAATAAGTTATGATTGTCGTAAATTAAATAATGCTTCAAGAAAAATGGCGTTTATTAATCATAACAATAAGAAGTTAGGTCGTTATAATGAAATCAAAAAAAGTTCCGAATTAGTTAGTGCAAATTGCTGTTTATTTGTGATTTCGGAACTCTTTGGATTGAGCCTCTACACTACGTTTCCTGTCCGAACCTACAGTTCAGTGCGGTGTTCAGGGTTTGGAAGAAATTTTGCGTTAATTTTTGACGGTTGCTGTGCCCGACGTTTTCCCGTTTTTCGTGCACCGGTCGCATTTCGACGATGTTCAGAATGGAGCAAGTAACAGTTTTCGGCGTTGGCAGGGATCGATTGGGTGTGCGGGAATGCGGAGGAACTGCCGTTCCCCGACGACACCTTCGACGCCTACACCATCGCCTTCGGGATCCGCAATGTGACGCATATGGACCGGGTAATTCAACGCCAGTGTTGAGTTGCCTTTTTTTCCCTGAAAAACATTACAGGGAATTTTTAATAGGCTCTGGATGAAGCGTACCGGGTGCTGAAGCGCGGCGGCCGTCTGATGGTACTGGAGTTCAGTCAAGTGCAGAATCCCCTTCTAGAATGGTGAAGATTGACTTTTTCATGACATAAATCCCATGAATTTGAATTTAATAAATTGAGAAAAAATCTGAGAGAAATCGGGGAAAATTTGGAAAATCTGCCCAAAAATGAATCTTTCCAAAAAAGAAGATTTCGAGATTTATTTAAAAAATGAGGAAATCAGGATGTTCCATAAATTAAATCCAGAGAAAACTGCGCTATACCTGGTATTAATCAGGATGATTTTTCCCTGAAATCGGAAGACTTAAAAAGAAAAAAGTTTTTATTTTCCTAAAAGAATTTCCATAGTTATTTTCTGCTTGATAACACATATCTATACCGAAGACTGCTTCTTTTTTGCCAGAATATCGGAGTATTGTATTATTAGTGTGCACTAGTACTGTAACTGTGTGGTGCAATCACTGTAATCTACTGCCACAAGAATTTCGGCAACGCTTTGACAGATTTATTATTGTATTGATTTTGTTTTTCTTTTAAATATTATTATTTAATGTTTTTTTTGGGTTTGATTTAGGCTGTATGAGAAGTATTCGTTCCAAGTGATCCCGGTGATGGGCCAGCTGATCGCCTCGGACTGGCAGTCGTACCAGTACCTCGTGGAGAGCATCCGCATGTTCCCTAACCAGGAGGACTTCCGCCAGTTTATCGCCGACACCGGCTTCGCCGCGGCCACCTTCCGCAATCTCACCAACGGCGTCTGCGCCATCCACAGCGGATTCAAACTCTGATCGGGCTTTCCTGCTGATTTTTTTCCTAATTTTTCTGGTGAAATTCAAGGTACCTGTTGCTTTCATTACTGCGCTCGAAATGTCATGGGGGTGTAAATTGTGAGAATAACCAAAGAAAAAGGCAAATAAATTCGATTTTGTGGGAAAAATCTGCAACCATCCGCTTGTTATTTTAAAAAAGCCATACAAAACATTATCGTTGAATTTTATCGGAAATATTTTTTTTATAAATTTCCTGGGACAATTAATTATGTTTTATTGTAACTAATAAATTACCGGAAAGCTTTCCAAAGAAACTCGATTATTATTGGGGGTGATTGTAATTAATTGGTGATTGGGGGTTATTATTTTTATTATTGGGGGTGATTGTAATATTTCTTTTCTTCGTTGAATAGTACCGTTTCATGAAGCGGTATATCGCAGTGTAGTGGCTATTTTCCACTGATCATAAAAAAATAACGAGCTTGCTTAATAATTATTGAAATACTTTGAACATACTTTGTCAAAATTTTTAAAAAATTCTGTAATATTGTTTTTTAAATTTACGACTTCACATTTCGCTTTTTATAAGAAATTATTATTACTACTCAGCACGATTTCAATAACTTGAATAACTTCAGAAGAGCGTTTTCTTACTGAAGGTGTACATACAGGGGTGCTACGCCAAGTTCGGGCAGTTGGGTAAAATAAATCATACAGTATTCCAGTTGGTCTTTTAGTTTTTGTTTTGCACTTTTCTAGTGTAACTTTTCATGGCAAATTTAATGATACCAAAATTGGATCCGTTGAGTCTGTCAGTAACGAGTTGGGCGCTTAATAAGGGGGAGGGGCAGTGGGTGTTTTAGGGATGGTTAGTTATTACAGCCTTTATAAAAAATTCCCTAAACGATATTTTTGCACGCCATTTTCTGGAAACGTTTGAGTGGTCCGACGGTGTCTTCTTTGTGTTACGAAAAGAATCTCGCGTCATCGGGGATCGAGATTACCTCGACACAACTTGTATCTCCCATAGACTTATATGTTATAACGTACCTAACGAAGGATGGGGTTGCCTAGCACAGAGACTTAAATAATGTCGAGCTGATATATTTCGTGGGTGGAACACGGTCCACATCAAACGGTTTTAACGATTTAATGCATATCTACTGCTGGGGAAGGGAGAGCAAAGCGCCAGATAATTGGAGGCAAAAGCTAACAAAGCGACAGGAAAAAAAGTTATGGTTGCCGTTTGAGTTTGCTAGACCAGCTTGTCTCTGGCATAGTGGGTGGATTGAAGCATTTAAACTATCCCTCAGTATCCTACAGATGAGATTTTACAAAAAAACAGTCGTCGAAAACTTCACTGGGTTGCAGGGCAAGCGTGTACAAAGGGTCACTCTCCACTTTTACTATGCCCACAGTTACATCGCAAAGGTCACGTAGGTTAGGTTGTAATCGAACGATCTGAGATACATTTCACAAGAGCCTTAAATGGCGAACACGTCAGACTTATTTATTTTGGATAAAAATGTCAACGGAATTTTTAAGCGAATTATAATTCGGAGGAAGACTCCCACGGTACATGGGCCCAACAGTATTTTAAAACTGGTCTGCCCTAGTTTCGGACGCACTGCAATTCGAAACACGCTCTCAGCGTAAGGAACGATAATCCAAAAGATGGTAGACACATACGGCAATACTATAAAATTGCAATGATTCAGTCATTTGTGATGGGTGACCTGTGGTAGATTTTGGAATAAAGTGCCCGAACTTGGCGTAGCACCCCTGTAATATTACAAGGAATTTCGGGGACTGTTTTTACAATTTTTGGAAACCACTTTCCCTCTGTATGATTTTCCTGAGGCAATTAATTTTATTTTTATTGTAATTAATTTACGTTCGGTAATTATTTTTTCGTTAATTGGTTTAACTATGTAATTGTCAATGGGGCGGTAGACTTTATTAATGCAAATTAAATGAATTTATCGTTTTATGTTGTGATTTGTATTTTGTTGATTTTTATTTTTTTCTTTGTGTTTTCGGTAATTTTTTCTTTTTTAAAGTCTTTTGTTTCTCTTCGATTATTAATTTATTTGCCTGTTTGTTTTATTTATATATAATGTTAATAAATTTTTTCTTTTGTTTTATTATGCGGTTTTTATTTTTTATTTATTTTTTAATATTGCAGCAGATTATTTGTGTTTTATATATAAATTTATGGAAATATTTTATCAAGTGAAACGGCCAATTTATAGGGCGATTTTTCGGACGAACAAACACGTTTTAACTGTATAAAAAAATTCTCAATTCGGTCCATATTTCCGGGTGCGTGGTTCGGTCCGTTGCGGCACTGAACAATTCCAAAAAAATCGCATTTAATTTTGCATTGAATACTGCCGATTTCGCGGTATGAATCCGATCTCGGCGCATTTCCTGATACGCAGCCGCGCCGAACAAACGGGCGCTGTAAGCGACACCGCGATGATACCGGCGCGTTGCACGATACACGATCCATTTACAAATTTTACATGGACGGCGTTTTTAACGAGCGGGCTTATCGGCGTTGTCGAGTACTTCCCATCCTTGACTCCGATGATTTATTACACACACCGAGAGCGTCTCGACGAGACCATCCGCTTCCGCTGTCTCTTCGTTGGCCACACTCGACACTCATCACAAACACACACAGATTGACAAATCAGCGGCGACCGATTTTTTTGGTAACACGGTACCCGGCATTTTTATGGAGTGTGTCGGTTGATCGGTGGATTTATCGGTGTCCATTTTTTGACAATGGAGTTTGGCCTTGGGATGGGAGAGGGATCGGTGAAAAGGAGATAGCGTTAGAATTTTCTGGATGAGCGGGAAATGGCGTTGAATGGATTGCGGAGATTTTGGCGGCAACTGTTTGTTATCGCCGTGCCGCTGGTCTTCCTACCGCTGCCGCTCATTATCGGCACAAAAGTACGTTTCATTTATTTTTCGATTTATTTTATTTTTTAATTTTACGTGTTTGTCGTGTTTTTTAAATTTTCGTTTGTTTATTTTCTTATTTACAGTATGTTCCACTGTTATATTTTTATTTCTGCTGGCGCTAGTTATTGGAAAAAAGGATGTTTATTTATTAAATTTTAGTTTATTTGATTTATCTTCTATTTTATATGTTTATAGTATGCGTTTAATTTATTGCCTTAATTATTTTCTTTTATTATTAAGCTACATTTTTGGGATGTACAGAAAAATTTCCTAAAGAAATTCTTGCTTGTTTTGAGGAAATAGTTGTTGCTGCTGATCACAATATTCTCTTACGGTGGATAATCGTACCGCTTTATAATGCGGAAGATCGTAGTGCAGCGGCCATTTACCACGTTTTGTCGTCATTGGGCGTGCTTGTTTATGAGAATTACTGCCATGTGCTTCACACGTGGAAACTCTAGAATAATTTTTTTAAAATTGCAGTGTTTTCCTCATTTGGCTTTTTATGAAGACATTGCTAATTTTGCCCATTACAATTTTCAGCATAATACTAGACGTTTTATTGGACCGTTTAAAAACTGCTGTTTTTGCATATAATTTCGCAAAAATTCTTTTCACAGTTTTTCAGGCTCCTTATGAATTGATTGGTACGGTATCTTTTGCATTTTAAATGTGCTGGTACACATATTAAAGATGGAACATCAAGGCACACGTTTTCTCCATTAAAATTGTTTCAAGTTTTGCAGCGAACGTTGTTTCATCCAACGAACTCTGTGTTGCCGGTTCGATATTTTTCCAAAAAAATTTATCTCTGCAGTGGATTAAAATGCGCAGATAGATCTTTCGTGTTGGCGGATGCCGTTCATGATTTTCTGAATTAGTATAATATATGTAGTTATTTAAAAATGGCGTTCAAGTAGGGAGGGTGTAAATATAATTTATTTATAATTTTTCTAACGAGCTATCACGAGCAACAGGTGGTTTTTTGACCAATGCCGTTGACGCGTGTTCCTGTATTATAGCCGGCATGTTGCGCGTACGTGATCGTGTTGATGGGGATCTTCTGGCTGTCGGAAGTGGTGCCCATGGCCGTGGTGTCCCTGCTGCCGGCCATCCTCTTCCCCATGCTGGCCGTCCAGTCCTCCAAGGATGTCTGCCGTAACTACTTCAAGGTAACCGGCTTGTTTTAAAGTTAGGTCTCTCTTAGCGGGCAAGTTTTTTTGATAACGTTTTATTTAAAACGAAAAAAACAACTGACAAATTTTCACGCCGGCCGATAATAACATTTTGGCAAATTTAGAAGAAAATAACAGAACAAGAGGAACAATAAAAAGTTTTGGCTAATGAAAAGTGCTGAAAGGTGGACAGCAACACAATTGGAAGTACGGAGTGGAAAACACCCATGAAAGTCTTTTAAAATGCCACTGTACTACCACTACGATCGGTTGTGGTGACAAGAGGCAGTTACTGCCGTACAGCAATAATACTTACACAATATTCATCAAGCATTTTAGAAATTAAAGGAAATTCAAATATTATTACGCACTACGAACTATGTAGCTGCGCGCGCTTTTTTAAAACTGTTGTTCACCCAACAAGTGATGGCCGATTATTGAAAAAAAACCAAATAGCTAATAATTAGTTTTCAGTGATTTTGCAACACCTGTGTGGTATTTTTCTACTTGAACGGCGCGCGCGCTGTTCAAGTTTTTAATTTTTTATTTTATTAAATTTCTCTTTTTTAAGAAAAACTGATAAAATTGGAAAAAATTTTGCTGATTAATAAATTAATTACTGAATACAATTTTTCAGGCAACTTTTATTAAAATGCGTTTTTCCGGGCGTTTTTGCAGGATTCTGTGATGCTGTTCGTGGGCAGTCTGATCGTCGCGGTGGCCGTGGAGGAGAGCAATCTGCATAAGCGGATCGCGTTGCGCGTGCTCCTTCTCGTCGGATCGCATCCACGCTGGTACAAGGCGAAATAATATTCGTACAACGCCAATAACCATCAACAGCGCAAATATTTATTTGCCGTTTTTATAATATTTATTCAGTAAAAATATTTATGACATTTACTCGGTATATTTTCTTACGGAATTTATATGAGCGATATAATGGTGAAATTGTATCAACAGGTTGATGCTGGGATTTATGTGTATTTCCGGATTTTTGTCCATGTGGATGAGCAATACCGGTAAGGCGTGGGCATTTTATTACCATACTTTATTTCCTTACTTGCTTTTGGAATGAGTATTATGCCGCCGTTCGTTGTTTTTTTAAAATGTATTTGTTTATAGTTTAAGTTGTAAAATATAAGTAACAAAAAAATATCCTCCATTTTCTCCTGGATTAAATAACTAAGATCTATTATCAGTCTGATATGTTTACGTCTTTTAAAAAAAATAGAAAACTTTTTAAATTATTGCACCTTCATGATTTAGAGTAAATAATAATTTTTATTTATGCTGATTTTTAAACTGCGGTTATTACAGAATTTTCATTAATTTTAATCTTGATTTTATTTACTGTTTTTTTTTCATTTAATTTTATCGTTGTTTGTTGCAGAAATAAAAACTGCAGTTTTATGCATATATTTTTTACTGAAATTTTTTTAATAATTATAATAATAATAATAATCATTTTTGACGATGTTCATGATCCCCAGTGCGAGGTCAGGGTCAGGTGGTGCTGGCATTATGCGCAACAGCCATTTTGAGAAACGTGTTGATTTTCTCTGTGGAGATAATCCATTTGGCAAATAAATCATCGCGCTGCGGTCTCCTTCCAATCGGAATTGTTTTATGACATTTTTTGACGACTGACAATATTTCCCCGGTGAACAGCGCTCACATGCCGGTGTTAACCTTGAGATAAGCAGCACTGCTTGTTATGAAATCTCGTATTCCATATTTCTGCCTAATGTTAAAAAAAGGCAAGGAAACCGAAATAAACAGGTAAACTAAAACTGATATAAAAGTACTGAAATGCAATAAGGTACGACATAAAATTAATGATAAAATTAAATCTGCATAAAATTAAATAAAATTAAAATTTAAATTAATCTGTCGAAATTATCATTGGAAGAACGGAAGAAGAAAACGATACTTCTATGCAGAAATAAACGCATGTTGAATGTCAGTAATGGTGAATAAAATAAAATCGGCAATTTCTTTATGATTCCCCAGGTCGAAATGTGAATTAAGCGCGTGCAGTTAACACAAATTGCGATAGAATGCTATTAATACTATAGGAAATTTTCAAAAATTTAACACTGCGAGTAAATTTTAAATTTCGTATTTTGATACCATGAGGGCCCACCTTGCTAGCATTGCCCAGAAAATAGACACTACACTACGATCTTCTCCACGAGATTGTATGGCATTGAGTGGCGTTGATTGTTCATACAACGAAAGACTGAAAAAAACTATAAACCGGCATAAAAAAATATCCCGATAATAAATTACTCAGTTTTAGACTTGTAGTAATAATTGCATAATAACATGTTTGATACGTATTTAAAAGCGCTCACATGCCGCGGCTAATCTTGAGATAAGCAAGCATGTTTGCCAGTTGATATTGCAGAATTCACTGCTGTACATAATTATTGCAATAATAAAATTTAAATAATATTTCTTTTGATTTAAAATAAAACGGTAAATGGTGCATTGTAATTAGCAGGCCGTTAAAAAAATTTAAATTAGCGAGTCAAAATTGATTCCCTAGAAGACAAAAAGGCGTGCAGAAGTGCAGCGCACTGTCAATGCCTCGGTTCAGTAACCGTAATGTCTATGGAGAAATACTATACTGATAATGCTTGCAGCAGTTGTTTAAGGAATAAGAAATGCAAAAAGAAATTTTGATTGGAAAAATTTTGTAAAACATTTTAATAGCATTCTAAATTTTCGTTAAGTCTATAGCTGAACATTTAATCCGACGCTCGCCATGCTGGAATAGCCACTTCACTACGATCTTCTCTACGAGAACTGTAGACGTGCATTGACTTCGAAAGTGACGCCAGCATGATCAGCATGATAAAATAATATCCCGTTAATTATGTAGTTATCACGATTAGCAGACAGTATTTTAGATTAATAAGAGAACCCATCCATGGTGGCAGTTTAATGCATTTTTAATAGAAGTAGTTTTAAAATAAAAAAATACTAGTGAATGGTTATTTGTGTAGCGACAACGGCCATGATCACGCCCATCGCCGAGACGGTGATCATGGAGCTGTTCAAGCGCAAACGCGCCGCCCACCGCCTCCGGCCCCTGCCGCTGGTCCCGGCGTCGCCGCGGGTGTCCACCCGATCGCCGTCCTACATCCGCGGGGGTGTGGCGCCCAACGTGCACGCTACCGCGGAGGCGGTCACCCGCTCCATCAGCCAGAACGGGACGCTGATGGAGACGTACGAGCGCGTCGACATCGAGGGCAAGGACAACCAGGGCTTCGTCCTCGACGCCGACGCCGACGGCCACTCCACCACCACGGCCGCCACCGTCTCCGCTAAAGGTCACGGGGAAGAGGTACGTCACCGGCGTGATGTAGCGCAGTCACCGGGGTCTGAAATTATTTTCTTATTAATTGAAACTCATTATTACAATAGAATTATTATTACCTAATTTCTTGTTACGTAAGTTGCTTACGTAAAAAAGGTTGTTATTTTTTAAGTACTAGTAATAATAATGTAAGTTTTGTTTTCCTATTTTTATTGTTAATAATTTTATTTTAAATAGGTTATCCTGTTAACCTTTGTATTTTTGTTGTCAACTTTGATCGTGAGGCTATGAACTGTGTATTATTATTCCATGCAGTCGATAATATTGAAGCTTGACGGTATTCGTAGAAGAGTGGCTTACTAGTGCCTCCTCCAAGTCAGTGCGATTTCTTAGTGGGCGCGCTAATGAAGGAATAGAAGAGAAGTAATTATTCAAAATTTCAAATCACTAATTTTTTTATTATTTATCAGCGGATATTTGGGATGTTTTGCATCCGCACGATATATATGTGTAACGTGCGTCCCATCGAGCTAGAAAACCAGCGGTCTGGGTCATTTGTACGAAATGCATTGTAATTTTGAATACTGAAACAAGCCACCGTGTTTCATCCTGCACAGGAGCCGGAAGCGTTGAGTGTGAAGGATCTGGATGCGGATGAACTGAAGATTATCAAAGGGATGATTCTGTGTGTCGCCTACGCCGCCAACATCGGGGGCACCGGCACCCTGACCGGCACACTGCCCAATATTGTCTTCAAGGGACAAATCGACGCGTACGTAGAAAACAGTAAATCAGCAGTGTATAGTGAATCCTCAAATAAAATCAGTCAACGATACTTATTTTCCTGTCAACTGAATTTATCCCGAGTTTTGTCTCCTGTGTGTACTATACGAACATGCTTACATGTGTTGGCAGATTACCTCTTTGTTGACTGGGAATTCTCTTTTCTGAGTTACATGATTAGTATTTATTTGCCATTTTTTTGTTTATTAATCGTAGTATTTTCATTTGATTTTGATCTGATTTTTCTTGCAGTTTATATGGTCCGTCAACCGGCGTAAATTTCGCGACATTTTTATTGTTTTCCTTCCCGGGGATGCTGCTGACGCTGATCGTGGCGTTTATCTGGCTGCAGTGGATGTTCATCAGCACATGGTGCGATTTATACCGGCATAATTTCAGAAAAATGTCAAAAAAATTTATAGCGACGGTAAACATTTATAGGTCGTGTGGAAAAGGCGGGAAGAAAAAGACAGCGGTGGAGGATGACGTCCGGGCCGCCGAGCAGGAGCGCACCGCCGTCCGCCAGATGATCCAGAGCAAGTACAACGAACTGGGCATTATGGGGTAATTACATGTAATTAACTGCACCGAAATTTCGGTTGATTGCTTTTTATTCAATTTTTAAACAAATAAAGTAAATTAAAACCAGCATTTAAAATACAGAAAAAAACATTTTCAGGTTTTTAGTTTAATATTATGCTTTCGTGTTTGTTTGTTTGCTCTGACAGGGAAAGGGAGCAAGAATCGAGCGCACAAAACCATTAAATTAGAAAAAATCGTTCGTGTGAAAGGAAAATAGTTTATTTCAAATGTGACACAGAGAAATAACATTATCATGAAAATATGAAAGCCAAAATGGTCCAAAAAAAAGTCATCAGACAGGCGAAAGAACTTTATGGTAAACAAGTCCGGAAAACTCTTATTTAAGCGCTTTATGACGATTAGACGCCTCGCCAAAATAGCCGTTGTACTACGACAGACACCGCTACATATGCGTATAGTTGCTCTTAAGTCACAGCTGCTAGACTTTTATTTATTAGCAAAAACCTACGTTGAATTTTGCTGACATGTAAAATTATCGAAAAGATCCGGCCAGATACTTACCACCGATTTACTTGGACTCCCAAATATTCGGCAGGGACAATGGAATTTTAGTAGCAAGAGAATACTGCGCAGAGGGAAAAAACTGTGATGAAAATTTTGTTGTTTTGTTTGTCCAACATCTGCTTATTATGCATGCAGAGACGTTGATATGTTGTGTAACAGATTCGGCGAGGCGAGCGTGATGTTCCTGTTCATCTTCCTCATCGTGGCGTGGATGTTCCGCAGTCCGCACTTCATCACCGGCTGGCAGGAGTGGTTCCCCAAGGGCTACGTCACCGACGCCACACCCGCCATGCTCGTCTGCTTCCTGCTCTTCATCTGGCCCAAACGCCTGACGCCCGCCAAGAACAGCAAACCCGGCGCGCCCATTCCGCCGATTCTGACGTGGGGCTCCATGAAGCGGCGGTTTCCCTGGGATGTCTTCCTGCTGCTGGGCGGGGCGATTGCGTTGGCCGATGGGACACAGGTACAAACTATAAACCCAAATAAGAATACAGTGGCATTTTTTGTAAAGGTGTTATTTATACTTGGAATAACTTAACATTGTTTAGAAATTGTTCTCTTCATGCGCAGTTTGCTTAATAGCCGGTATTCGATTCACAAGAATATGATTTCTTTTGAAACAAATGCAAATATAGAACTGTAATACTATGATATCTATAAATCGCGTATTGAAATTAAATTGTTGTTAGAAGTGCGTACTGCGTAATGCAAAAAGCAGTACTTTGAAGTACTAATACCAGCTAAATATCCGACTGGTAGAAGCCTAAGAGGGTAAGAGCGATCAAAAAGTGACGTCGCTGCGAAGACAGCAGTCTCCTTTCCGAATCGACATTCGCAGTTTTCGCACTTCACGGATTTATTTGTAGGCGTCGGGTTTAACGGATTGGTTGAAGGATCAGATGCACTACTTCGCCAGTCTCCCGCCCTGGGCCATCGTCATGGTCATCTCGCTGCTAATTGCCACCGTGACGGAGTTCGCCAGTAACGGCGCCATCGCCACCATCTTCCTGCCCATTCTGGCCAAACTGGTACGAACAAATACGCCTTACATTCTCCTCATAAAAACACCACATTCAACAACTATTTCGTGAAAATTTGCGCTTCTTCGTGAGAAAAATCCTTTAAAGTACAAGATGTTTACATGCACTTTGAGGACGTTGTTTGGTGGTAGGCGGAAGTGTCGGACGTGAACCCGCTGTACTACATGATCCCGGCCACCATCGCCTGCTCCTTCGCCTTCATGCTGCCGGTGGCCACACCCCCCAACGCCATCGCCTTCGGCTGCGGCTTCCTGCAGATCTGGGACATGGTCAAGGCCGGCTTCATGCTCAACTTGATCGCCATCATCATCCTCATCGTCAACGTCCACACCACCGGCGTGGGGGTCTTCGATCTCCTCAACAAACCCGCCTGGCTCCTCGCCGAACAGATGGGATTGTCCAACGACGACGCCGCCGGCATGTACAATATGACGACAATGTCCTATGCCACCACGTAGTAGCAGTTTCGTTGGGTTCTCTGTCTGTTTCACAATTAGTGGTTCCTATTTGCACTTGTGATGCTGCAGTCGGTTGTAAAGCTATGAGTATATTGGAGTTGGGCAATGCTTAACAGATGTCGACTTAGGTTGATCGTCGTAGTTTACACAGCCGATTGGATGAAATAAAACGCAGTACATGTAGCGTGGAACTTTCAGTACGAAGAACGAAGCCGTAAACAAAACTTTGAAGGACCTACGAAATATAAGAAAACAAGAAAATATGAGAACCGTAAGAATAAGAAGCCACGCGCAAAGCGTGAAACAAAAAATGGGGCATGGAACACGAAACAGGCAACGTGAAGCGGCGGAACGAAACAACAAGCAACAGAGTAAGAAACTTACAGGATAAAAGAAAATTAACAGTGGAACGCGAAATAAACCTAGGTATAAATGGAAAGTTGGAAACATGAATACGTTTCATGGTTTCTTGATTACATGATGGTATTGCAGTGCTTATGTTTCGTTTCTCAGGTTCTAAAACCGCGGAACTGCCCAGCTCGTTTTTTGGTATTATAAAAAAAGCGTTCTCCCAGCTCCCGGGTTTGCAGCAACTGCACATTCGTTTAGGCTCCCGGTTTAACGCTGCGCGTTTAGTCGTTTGCTGTTTACCGCATTTGCCAGCAGGTTCTGCAATCGCCTGTAAGGAAAACTGGGGAGGGAGCGAAGGAGAATATGCTGGCCTTTGACGGAGGGGGGGCACGTCTATAATCTGTACGTTGAAATTTCTCGTTTGGTGTCATGACCCCTTTGCTCCATACCTCCCTACGCCACTGTAATCTTCCCCACTTCTTGTGTAATCGGTCAGACAGTGAGAGTGCAGTGCCCCAGACAGTGTGACCCAGACGCTGACACTACAGATTCGCACGCTGCTGCCTGTGAATGTGTACTGTCTGCGCCAGGGTCTCAGACAGGCACTACTGAATGCCACAACGCAGCAGATGTATGGATTCCCAAGCGTTTTTTCATTGTTTTAATCATATAAACAAGACCGCAGCAAAGTTGCCAAGAAAAACAACATCGGGTACAAATCATTCCCGATCTAAAAGCTAAAAAGCTCAATCTAAAAGCTAAAAAAAACATCTTCGCTGTCTCTCATGTCACTAAATGTTCCGAGGACAGACACTGCACTTCCACGTTGTATCTCAATACTGATTCTCTGACGCAAAAACTCTCCCGACCGAGGGTTACCACTACATTCGCAAATCTTTCTGGACAATTCCTTGAAAAATTTCTTTGTGCGCGGTCCGAAAGTTCCCGTAGTTTCAAATGCCAAGGGTTGCACTATGTATCGATCCGCCAGTCCATCGTATTTATCAAGCTTTCGATTCTCTCTTATTTCCGCTGCACTTCCTGGAACACGTGATGTCTGGGCAATGTAGGTTTGGGCAAACGTGTCGGCAACAGTAACGTCCCAAACCAGCGGTTTCCCATTGCGCCAAGGAAAAGCGGTTACGCCGTCCGGCCGTTTGCCATCTCCTCTATCCAGTCCCGGTGGCTCAAGCGTCGACGGCACTCTGGCGGAATTTAGGGCCCGTTTTGTCGCGGCGTTCAGCACGGCGTTTGTACGAGTACTTGGCCAATTTCGGGCTAGCACTATCCGTATGCGAACCGGATACTCAACTGTACGTACTTGCCGGTACAGAGAGTGGACTATTAGCCAATGGCCGAACGATATGATATCCGCTTGGGCTGCTGAGTGAGAGACGGCTGAATGAAATCGCCCAGTCACAGTCCAGACTGACTTACTGCACGCCGTAACAGCTGAGTGCCCGGTTCGTGAACTTACTATATAACGAAATCGCCTAGAACGTGCCGAAATATCGATGAATGCGGCTGTTAGACGACAAGTTCGACAGCCTTCACTCTTCACACGCTAACAGTTGTTAGTTCCCTTTTTTATAGCGATCCAGCTGACAGCTCCCAGTTCGAAGTACGAGGTACCAAAAAAACCCGCAGGAGTATTATACAGTTGGCTGCAAAAGCGACTTTTCGCTGGACGAATAGCCGTTTATGTAACCGGTCCGGTCTGACATTCGGTCACTTTTGCAGTCCACTGCAACACTCACTGAACACTGCACTGTAGTACAGATGATCGCAGCGGATGAAAATTTGCTCTGTCGCCGACTCGCCGTAAATTTTTGATTTGTGATTTCACAGGGAAAACTTATAGCCCATTCGGAAATTTTTAGCGCAGACCCTTACCGGACTCGACTTTCAGGATTCCAGATAACGGAACCAGAATGGGAGGTAGGGAATGGTTTATTTTAGCCAATGCTTTTTGTGATTCGATAGCATCTGGTAAAGGAAGCCAGTGGTCTACTCGGATCTTTGGAATATAGTAAAGGCTTTACTATATTCCAAAGATTCCAAATCTGTGATCGGTTCCAAATCTGTGATCGGTTTGCAAATCTGATTCCAAATCTGTGATCGGTTTGCATTAAATAAAAAAGTTTGGGAGGTAAACAGAAACTATTATCCTTACGTTTCTTTGGCTTTACTGAATCAGCGGATTTTTCAATTCAAAAAATTAACACTTTTGAAAGTTGGAAAAAGTCAAAACGAAATTCTGACTGCCGCCTCCCAACCACCCCACAGTAACCTTGGGTGGTGCTAATGATATATAATTATGAATCTTGAGTTAAACGAGAAAACACAAACTGGAGAAACATATACCGTATTAAAGTTTCGTTTGTTGCAGGTGTATCTCGCAGGTTTTAATTTTGTTATTGCAGGTTTTAATTTTGTAGTTATGGATAACTACTGCCACAAAGGCCTTAATGTAGTTATGGATAACTGCAAGTAGATTCGCCGGGGATGTTGCTTGCAGCTGCATGCGATCTTCGCAGAAAAGCAGCGCTTGTAAAGGGCAGCGATTTGCGTGATTATACACAGGTCTCCTACGATTGGGGAGTTTATACTGCACTAATAAAACACTAAATAAACACTGTACCATCAAACCGCTTAGAAACCTTAACTCCTGCCGATCGCATTTCGCCAGCGTGTACACAGACTGTACATGTATAGTATCTGTACAATACACTGGACTTCAAAATTGTGTTACAGCATACCCACCCATACTTGAGGCATGCATAGCGCTATACGGTAACACCTTTATGATGCCCACGGTACTTACGTTGTGGGGAATTCTAACCATAAGGCGCTTAAATATTTATGGTCATGCCCGTGTTTATAAAAAAACGCATAAAGCGTTTGTTTAAAAAAAGCGCTTACTTTCTAGAGAAATCAGGTAGCGAGGACGATGAGCAGCTGTTCAAAGGACTGGATGAGGCAAGGGATAGCTGGACTAAATATGGCTGTGAATTATACCACTTTCCCGTTAAGATGACTGTTCGATCGTAATTTTTGATCCGCAGGAGTATGAGGAGTTGAAGCGGAAGACAGCGCTGGCAAAGAAGAGTGACCAAAGCAATCACCATGCAGTCACTGTTCCATATGTTTAGATACTCGTATAAATCTGATTCGGTTTTTGCAGCGAAGATCCAGCAGCTGCAGCAGAAGGTGACCGAGTGCACCAAGACCATCAAGCAGCACATGATTTGGCTGCAGAAACTGGAGAACGCCATCGCCGCCAAAAACGGTCTGATAAACGAGCAGCAGCGTAATGTCCAGGATTTGAAGTACCGTTTGCGAGCGGCGGAGGCGCAACTGGCGGAGGAGAAGGAGCGCAGTGCGGAGCAGACGGCACGTTACAACCGGCTGATGCAGATCAACACGGCGCTGCACGGGTTCTTTGTCGAACACGGCAGTGTGGTGGCAGAGCTGAATCAGCTGATGGTAAGCGGCCTGCCGCCGGTGAACGCTGTGGTCTTAGCGTATACCCATTAAACCTGAAGGTATTTGGCTTTTCTAGGCTCCGAATGTTGGCCCTGGGATGTTGCCGGTTATCGCTGCCGAGTGAGTATAGCTTGTTATTTAAGGCACTGCGTTTCCGAGTTTCTGCGCTTCAACCTTTTTCATATTTCAGTCACTACAACATATATTAAGTTAATTTTAAACTAATGGAAGGTTTCCAATATGATCGTATTTATCAGCTGGAATTTCGGTTACGAGCGTTGACTCGGAAATTGTAGTTACTGGTTTATAAAGCGTTGACAAAAACGGACAAATCGAACGAAATCTGATTAGTAAATGAGGTATGAATTGTTTTTTTTCACATTTTGAACAACATTAGTCCAGTTATTGTGATATTTTATGAAATAAAAAGCAAGCGCAAACACCCACAGGTGATGGCATTCTGTAACATTCAAAATTGTCTTTCATTGCCTTTTTTGTCCGCCAAAAAGGTTTACGTCAGCATTTTCGTCCGGCAAGTTTGTCTCCGTTACGTTGACAAGTTGGCCTCTTGCCGGCTACATTGTAAATTGTAATATTAGTGTTTTGTACTTAAATTAAATATGATAGCAATTGCTGTATGCAGGAATCCCGCGGCGGTTGCCGATGGCCCTTCTGACGTCCCGCCTGCAGCATCGAATCGGCTTCGAACTGACGATATCGCCGTGTTAACTGGGATGAATAGCCATGTAGCTAGCGTTCCTCCGCTGCTATGTGCTGCCGTCAACCGTCCCACAACGTCCAGCGAAGACATGGGCGAATGCAGCGCAATCCCAATATCTCCGGAAATCTCTCGTCCGAAGAAGGCATGGGCGGCACTGCCGAATGAGAAGGCCACGCACTCTGACGGAGTCAGCAAGCGGAAGCGTACGGACTCGGCCCCCACGGTCAACGCCTGCAAAAACTGCCTTGTGGACTACGACGAGGAGTGGGAACTGCGCGCGCATGTCTGTGCGGTGTGGCTTTGTCGGTGCGGAAAGGGAGGTTGCGCGATGACCTTTCACACTGCGGAGGAAAAGCTGGCTCATGAGCAGAAAAAGCATTCTCCACGTTTGAACGACGGGCACTCGTAGATTGCTGAATTTCGACAGTATGTGTTTCAGTTAGAACGGTCTGTTTTCCGCGCTCCATTAGCGGTGAGTTTGCGATGAGCTGAATTATTTCTTTCCCGAATAATAAAACTGGGAAAACTTAGCCATTGGCCCATTAGTATGTACTTTTGTTAACCCCTACAGGCTATTAATATTGAGGCTAAGAACTTCGGTTTTTACTGAATATGTATTGTTTTTTCCCTGAATTATGTGGTTCGATAATAATGTTGCACTACTTAACAGAATCTGCTGGTTGTCTCGGAGGGCATGGTTTTCGTCTTTGACTTTATAAAACCGATTCGTCATATGCACGCACTGAGTGAAAGATATTTGCAACTTCACATACACCAACACGCAGCACGGAATGCTTCTGACATTACAAGAATGGGCAAATTATTATTAATTTTTGGACGGAGTGACTATTCAATACGTAAGTCTGAGTACTGTACAAGCATCACCAATACAAGGTGAGGCAACAAAACAATTGTTAATTTTCCGACAACTTTTTCTGCATTCCATCGATCACGACCAACCCGTTCTGGATCTTAGTGACCCTTTTCAACGCCCTCTAAATGACAGCCGTAGAACTATTGCTGGCCGCTGTTCGGTAGTGTCCGTACTGTTTGCTTGCTGTCTCCCAACAACGAAAGCGCGACGCAACGAAATAGACGCATCCGACCGGAGTTTTCTCGGGATCACACTCCCATCTCAACTCTCTCCCGCCGGGCGGCCATTTCGCAAAAGATTTTTAAGTTAGACGGGCAAAGATATTCCACCCAACCTTATCGCAATGTTCGGAGAAGTGAGAACGTCTAACACTACAACCGAAAGGTTTCACCGGTTACAGGGTTGTACACTATTAAAAGTAACTTCGTAATTGGAACATCCATTGAATACTATTCTACAAATTTTAGCTAAAAAAACAGATAAAAACAGATAAAAAAACAATCATATATTTGTTGGCAGTAGCAGTTTATTTATTAAATGTATATTTCCTGTGTATTCCTGCGACGCCTCGGTGATGCAAATGCCCGCCGGAAGCGAGTACACTTTCCACGTTATTACTACCCAGTGACTTCTATAACTTTCCCGTTGTGTACTTTGTCATGCAGTTGCGTTGTGATCAGGTTAAAGACTGTCAGATCGAGTAAAGCCAGCAGTCAATTCATCTGCATAATATTAACCTGCGGTAAAAGGACCACTTCCCCGCAGGTTCGGTGGCCCCACAGGGAAGTCCGGAAGTGGTATTTAAAAGCAATAGCCAAGTACTGTATTACCATATCGACAGCGTCGGAGAATCTGAATTAGGTAATCAGTAACATCAAAATTAATGAAATTCCGTCCCACTTCGTACTACAAGGGACACTTGGAAATCTGGAGACATAATGCACAATTGGTTCTTCAATTGTGCATTATGTCTCCAGATTTCCAAGATTAATAGCTGAAACAAAAGGAATAGAAGCGCGACTCTCGGAAGGAACAAACAAACAGTTCTTCCAATGTCTTTAAAAAACAGCGGCGGCCTAGCACCACGAGGCAGAGACTCCTAGGATAACTGAACAACATCTAATCCAAAGTGGAGCAGCGATGCTTCTTTTTGTCCTTGAAGGCAGTGGCGTAGAGAATAATGGGACAAAAGGGCTGTGGCCCCCAAAACGAAAATTTCTAACATGGGGTCCTTAGACTTGGCCACACCCCAATAAAACCGAAAACTCCCACTGCTTCTGCCAGACAATATAGTCATCAGCAAGATGCACGTGGGCACGAAAAAACTGAGCGCAAGTTTTGCGTGGTAATACTGCAGGAGAAAATTTACGAAGAGAAATTTTTCCGATTGGCACTAATACTGGAGAGCTGACTGTGTAGTTGGTTAGCCGGAATTCTTTCCGCGCTATCACTGGACAAACAACGGCGTACGCATTCCCCCAGGCCTACCGGCAATGCTGCCGCGTCATTGACGACCGGTGTATGACCACTGTAAACCAGCATGGCAACACGCACGGCTGACATCGGTTCTTCCGAGCGGATTTCCGCTACACTCCCGTCATTGGGATTGCGTAGAAACTCGTTGGAATCACCCGTAATACGGCGCATCAGCTCCATGACAATACAACCGCAACTCCAGATATCCGTTGGCGGTCCGGGCAGGCTCGTCCACAAATCCTGGACTGGTGTGGAGGAAAAAGCGCAAACCATTTCCGGCGACAAGTAGCGCCCGCAATCGCGCAAATGTCCAAAACCTAATGACGCCTTCCTACTGCGGAGAAGGGCACCAAGATAATCTAAATCGGTGATGAGAAGGCTGTCCCGCTGGCCGTTCGCTCGTTTGATCATAATGTTACTTGGCTTTAAATTCCCGTGCGTTAGACCGTTCTGGTGTAGAAACGCCAGTCCATCGGCAATATCCTCCGCGTACTGCACAGCAACAGCTGCATCCAGCAACTTTCCGTTCTGCATCATGGCTCGCAGCTTCTTTTCAAGGCTTCCATCTAAAAACAGGTCAACTGTTCAACCATACGTTCCATACCACAATCCTTACTGTTCTCGGCACATTTTTCGACATAGTAGAGTAGGAAGATGTGTACTCTGCCTTTTATTTAGCTGAACGGAAATGATATTAAGAATATTTGTTAACTGATACTCATGCATTACTTTGTTCAATACGTATTGATCACCATTCAAGGAACAGTCTTTGTAATTATGTACTTACTTAATCATCTTTATTACCGCGATTAAAGTTTACCCAACGCCAAATCCGAATTTGAAAAACGATGGTGATGACCACCGTAAAACGGTATTCCACGGTATTACAATAGTTGTTTCACCCTTGTCTCTGCGACTGTGGTCGGAATACAACCGTAAACCGACCCATAGGAAATTTCGGAGGGTAGAACTATCATTAGGGCATTAATAGGTATTACCTACCTTAGTGAATTTCGACATCGGTGGCCTATCTGAGTCAGCGACCGTAGTATTAACCGAGCGTGAAACGACCGTTGCTAGCGGATAAGGTGGTCACCGCGGCTTTGCGTAGCCGGTAGTTACCTGAGTAATCTTATTGGCGGTACAGACGTAGTTATCGCCTTGTGGCGGTAGACACACCGCTTTCTTCTCTAGGTCACATTACCGGATCATAGCTAACTATTGCAATATCAGTCAAGCTGCATGGGTTGACGTCTAAATCTAAAACAACCTTTTTTCGAAATACATTAACTCAGATTCTGTTACAACTGTAAGGTTGTAACTATTCTCTTTTCAAACTCTGTCTGAAGAAAGCAAGGAATAGCTCAGAATGCTTCAAAAGATCCGTGCAGCGTGTCCCAGCTGAACTGGTTGCCAAGCGGACTGCGGTGGAGGTAAGAACTATAAGGGTAAAAGGTTATAAGGTTACCTTTTCGGAGTTACTAATGGTACCTAAAACACCATATTGTTTACCAAAGTTTCAGAAATACTATAAAATGCAGGAGAATAACATGTACGTTTTGGCAATACTGTGAGTCTGGGAGAATGCATATTTATCGTGTTCTTGCAGAATAGGAATAAAAATGCAAAAGTTTTCTAGGTACGGCACGGATCGCAGTCCCTGAGTGTAGACTGCAAGGTTTTGAGTTGATTTGCATTTTTAGGGGAAACTGGAAACGTCTAATTCTTCGACAGTCCGCGGCCAAATTTGCAACAAGGGAAATTAAGTCAAGTAAGATTCACATTAATGATTTTTATGGCTAGGAATATGTAAGTGGGACGGTAATTCTTATTATTTTCAACATCACGTAAAACGCCATAATTTTCTTCGTTAAGTACTAGGATGGGTGCAATATTTTTCTCGGGGCTAATAATTGTTGTTGCTGATATTCCAAAGCCTTAGTTGTTTTTTCTAAAACCCGTGTTGTTGCAGATATCCTGAATGCATCCCAGCAACGCCGAATTGGCGGTACCACCACACATCGCCATCGCGTGGCGGTAGCCAATAGCCACGTTCTCCCATTGCATTTGGTAATGGCTTATCTGCCCATATTCGCTAAATACACGTAGTACGTCTGTATCCGTAGTATGTACCAATAACCGACTTTTCCATGATTCCACCCAAGCTACCTTAACTTAAAGTTTCTTTGTTTTTGCACTCTTTTCTACAATGTTGACGGTTCACAGATTACTTAATATACCGTACTGAGACGATGGCGTCTAATAATTACAGGACATGAACTGCTGGCATTTTGGCAAACAGTAACCAGCAAGAGGGATAGTCATTATACACAAAACAATATACGCGCGCATCGCTGTTACTAAGATCAACACGCATGATACCTTGCTTTTGTAATATTACTTACATAATTTTAATGAGAAAAACACTTAAGAGCACTTACGTTTCCGCCGTCATTAGGCTAACCTTTGTGCTATCATTTACTGTACTTAATTTAGTCATTTTACATTCAATGGACACTCTCGTCTCTTCGATATCCAATGTCAATGTTCATAATTATCTGATGCTTACTTTTTATAATCTTTTTTTTGCAGAAATGCGCCTTGCAAAAACTCGGACGAAGCGTCGTAAACTGACAGTTTCATTTTTATCGGAAAATATTCCACTGATCCGGAACACCGAAGCCGTTTAAGCGTTCAGTGATTCCTGCTTTTTGTTTGCTATTATTGTTGTTGTTTGCTTATTCCTGCTTTTTGTTTGCTAAATGCTACTCGAAATTTTAAAATCATCTCCGTTTTTTTGGCTTACTGTTTTACAACAAATCTAATGTATGGATGCTTACTATAATTTGTATTTTGATCATTAATATTGTTATCACTTTCTTGATGAGCTTAGTAAATTTGAAAGTTCCAGTTCGAATAAAAATACTACCGTGTTACGATGGTTTTCGCCCACAGAAATATAAAATAAGTATACCGTAGTACGGACGACTGTATTCCCACCGTAGAACGCGTTCCTGCTTCTCCACCGTATTTCTACAGTAGTTACGTACCACAGTACGCCAACCTACTGTTTAATTGCGACGGTCTTACTACGGTTCACTTAACCATATTACAAGCTGAGCACGGATGAATATTGGCTTGCGACTATTTTTAGAATTTTGTTGCCGTCAAATCATGCAGTATGTTGCAACATCGTTAGAAATAAGCTGTTTCCCTAAAGTGAGCACCCGCCCTTGTCAGCCTTATGGCATCCATGGTAACAAGCTTTAAAGTGACCACTGGTCATGGGGTTCTGCAGACAGCAAGCAGTAACTGGTCTCAGAACACGCGCGTGATCGAGAGGTTTCTGACGCATTTTGAAGTAGGAAAATTGGATGAGCAGAAGCTGAAATCACCGGCGCCGAATGAGAGGGGCCGAGCTCCTGGCACAGATAATTAGTATTCATATAACTACGGTATTAACGAAGAATCCCCGAGTGTCGCTTCAACGAAGCAACCCATGGTGGGATTTTCCTCGGACGACGGTCGCCTCGCAACACTCGTAACACCGTAGGAACATAGTTCAATTGACGATTCTCGCCCGGATGGCGCCCTGTGGCGGTTGGGAGCCGTACGCCTAAGCTACGCCGGGAAGTCATCGTAGGCCCATAACAACAAGTGCTCATCCCGATACTTTTTCAACAGCGCGCGTTCGCAACCTATGTTGTTTGTTAATTGAGCAGATACATGAAAATTTACAGAAAATCATTCTCTACAAACGAGGCGACAAATGTGTGATAAAAATATTTACAGTTTCCTTAAATTTAGCGGCAGTGCTATGGCCACGGTATTACACCACCGTCCATATGGTAGTACAGAAACAGAGCGAATGCGAAGTTTTCCTGTTGGCGCACTGTAAAATCCCTGTTTGTTAGTGACGTCAAAATGACACACTGCCAGTCTGCAGTCCCGGCGAGAATCACGAATTTTGGCGTTGGGTAACCCTCAACCGATGCACTGTACCGTAATGACGCAACTGTGCTTATTACATCACGGAACTTACTTACAGCTGCAGTTTGCTTTTCGGACGTCAGTTATTTTTTACATTATGGCTGCGTGCACGAGTGACCTTTTCGGGTCCGCACGAGTACTGGTTGCCTGCACGGGAAGTCGCCATGGGCGCTGGCTGCGTGTACGGATGTTTACATTCACGCTTGAATATTTTGAATTTTACTTTCTAAGCTATAATTTTGTAGCCCTTTGTTCCAAGCTTCGTTAATATTTCAGCCGCGGTAGAGAAATATTATGTGGTATGCCACAATCGAGGTATAGTAACAATCTAGCAATTTAACAAAAATTGTTGCCTTCGGCTTTCGTGTCAGGCTGTTGTCCCCCTGCCGGTGGCACAGGGGAATAGGGTAATGTTTATGGTTTCAAATGCGGCCTCCAGATTATATCGCATCATTTCCGGTTCGAATGTTGCCGTTCCCTGGTCAAGGGCGTTAAAATTTATACTTCGAAGTATAGCATAGATTGAGAAAGCACAGAACATAGGGCCACCGTATTTAACGCTCCTCTGTAACCGTTCCCTGACCTCCTCCAGTCCCTCATCTAATTTCATTGGGTGACCAATTAGGCACTTTGTTCCGCCGTCGTATTCCAATTCAAAAATCGGCGTTAAAAAGGCTTTAATTTTTAACAGATTTAAAAATATAGAATTTATACCGTGGAGTGGACGCATTCAAAACCCGTTACCGAACCCCGTGCACGCAGCATCGATCTATTTTTTAAAATCTACACCGAACTTACCCGGATAATATGGGTTCATGAATTCAACAACCCCACGGTGCGGAGATGAAAAAATCGTGATTTTGTGGCATGTCACCAGATGATCACGTCGAAGCGGCAACAGCTTTTCCAGTCGTTCGCGAAGTTTCCCCGGACTTTTTAGGCTTTCCAACAATTCGTCGTCTACAATTAGAACACCCCTGGCAACCACGGTATTTTCTCCGTCGTAGTTGCCGAAATCTGTTATCCGCGCAACAAAAACCCCGGCGCCAATATTATCTGGAAGACCTCCGTGCTTGTATTGACATGTACTTCCAAGCTGAACGATATCGGTGAAATCACAAGCCATATTCTATACTATGCTGCATGTGTTACTTGAAATTTGACTGACATTCTGTTGATTTGAGCTCCAAAAATACCTGCTGTAACAGCAAATTCCAGATAGAAGAAAATTGATATGCTCTTTAAATTGGCTTGCAGTAGTTCTGTAGTTCTGAGAAACGTAACTTAGAAGACCAACAAACCACTACAGTAAAACTGTACTGTGCCGTTGGTCTACGGAAGGTAGTACGCAAGGCTCAGTACGCAAGGCTTCGATACGAGAACTGTAGTACTCTGTACTGTATACCTTTAGTATGCTTGCTTCCCGCTGCAGTAATATTCAACGGTAATCAAATATTTTGATATGTTTCAACCGCATGCGCTGCAAATCGGCACTCTTGACTCTGCACTGTTTGCAGTCTGCATTGCGCTGCAGGCACGCACAAAAATTGCGACTTCTTATCCACATCATACATGAACATTGTACTCGCCGGCTGGTAGTATAATAGCGCATGTTTGTTTACATTCGATTCGCCGGCCGGTCTTTTTATACGGCCAGCAGGAAAATTAATAAGTACGTACAAGCGGTACACAGAAAAATGGACGCCGTAGCAGCTACGGCGTAACTGTCTTGATGCCTTAAGGCCTGTAACTTTGAACGAATTATATTCGTACAAGTATATCAAGTGAACAAGGAACAAAAGTTTCACACCTTTGAACAGAAAACTATGCGAAGGATATTTATCACGTATTCATGCAAGCTTACGATAATCTGAAGTGTAAGCCGTATAATATATTTTATTGATCATGGTGCATTTGTTGTACAGGAGTAGAATCAACATATCAAATAGATCACCTAATCTTAAGCAAGCAGGCTGTTTGGATGTCGCTCAATACTGTCGTAGCTAACTGTCATAGCATGGCATTCGTCGGTTCATGAGCCGAAATTAAAAACGTTTTCGCCATGCTGTGTATTTTTCTGCCAAGTAAACTTGTTCAAGCTAAAAAAATATGTGATCCAATAGAAACAAGAGTGGATTCAAGGACGTCTGCATTTTACGCAAAGTCTCCAGCTGACCCATCGGCATCCAGTCCACCAAAATATAGTAGAGATCGCTTGGCATCCAACTCACGGCAAATCCCAGAGTAAACAAGCTGGTCAGGATAAACGACCGCGATCCTTGCGTAATGCGTCCGCCGGCGACTGGCGACTGCCTCGCATGGAGCTGACATCGGCAGTAGGACTGATGCGCTTGCGCGTCTTTCGGCTCCACTGCTTCCACAGCAATAACGGGTAGCACGCCGGGACAAAGAAGATCGCGAATACGGAAGAGCCAGATACTCTGAAAGGTCGTCCAAGTTTTCTGGGCGGCGCGGTTGAAAAAGCAGCCTCGTTCCAGATTAAGATAGTACAGTGCGTCAATAATAACTTCCGGTAACTGAAACACGTGCCGTACACCACCGTGCCTAGACAAATCAACCAGGTGACCGTCGCCGTGTGGAGGTGACGGTAGGACACCGGCCAAAAGAGCGCCCAGAGACGGTTGAGACTGTTCAGAACGTGTGTGTGCAGAATGACTGAAGCCAGGATTTGTACACAATATACGAGTACTGTACTGCAGTCGACATTACCCAGCCATCATCGGATGGTGAAGTTCAGAATTTTCAGAGAACCGTCCACCACGCCTACGAAACGTTGTCGCGCAACAAAACGGGACCGTAGACGTTGGATGACGAGTGGAGATGTTGGTCCATTAACATGCCCCGCACGATGCCGGTGAGAATTTGACGGGCCACGGTAATGGCGGTGAACTCTGCTGATGTACCTAGTATCTTTGTGGAATTGGTAGAAAATGCATTTGATACACTAGTGGTGTAGTTCCGATCATCGCGCTAACATCGCGCTTATTGCGCGCTGCTTGTACCTTTCCGCGGGAAATTTCAAAAATGGCCTGTCGGCGTGAAAATTGCAGACAGTATGCCGCTGACCCACTGCCTGCCTGCCCTCTACGATTGCAAGATTTGGTCAAGTCACACTTTTGCTTCTTTACTCGATTGTGATTTTTCGATTTGGCATGGCTCTCTGTTAGTACTTAGTAGTTTGTAGCCCGTAAATCAAAATAATACTACACGGCGGTCACGCCACACGGTTATAACTTGATGGTCATTTCGGCTGTGTATTTCTTTTGTGAGATGCGACGGCAAAAAAGGACTTACTTAATTGTGATGAATTTTCCATGACATTGTAAGTGACATTATACTAGTATTCGTCGCGCTACCGGTCTCGCCGTCAGCACGTAGAATTGTACGTAATCGTAGCTAAAATTTACTTGCCAGCACGTAAAATCGTTCCGGTGCAGAAAAAAAGCGGTGTTTAATCAACCACATTAGCTAATCGCTCAGCCATACTTGTATGGTCCTTGCAGGCTCGTTGTATCGATATTTTTCATTCCAACTGACTGAATTGATCTGAAATCGCATCCGCCATCCGAAAGCGGCCCACATTCTGCAACGCGCAGCTATTTAACGGCCCACTTGCACTCGTTTCTCAAGGTTTGTCTTCCACGTGTGACGTGACGCATAACTGTAAGGCTCAGGATTTTCCACTGGCGATTACCATGAATGGAACATCTCGCTACTTCCGGCAGTGGCGCTCCAGTGGACGCGAGGTGAACTACGGTAATACGGTGCTAGTGCAGCGTGATCACGGCCAGTGGTGGCTAGGATACGTTCAGGATATTGACGGGGACCATTTCTTCGTTGATTTCGACGCCAGCTCCGTCAGCCCGCGATGGATCCACACCAGCCGTCTCTGGCTGCACCACCGTATATACCGCCGGGGTCCACTGCTTCTTGGTTGCCACCTGCAAATGGCGGTACGCGATGTCGATGACGGACCGATTTTTTTTCGGCCGGGTACTGTTATCCAAATGGTAGGTACTGCGCTCTACATTATACGCCTGGATCAAAGCCAACACTCTGAGCACAGCATACCGGCGGATTCCGATTTCTGTATCGTGTTTCAAAATGACTTGGTCAAACAAATACCGTCAAGGAACGGAGAGCCCAGTATTTTTGACCAGCTTCGCAAGGAAGTCTTCTATCGTAAACATGTCATCGATTTTCCCCAGGCCAATTTATTGCACGACATGGTTAGCATGCCCAAGTTCTTGGCCGAAACCTGCCGGTTGACACTAGGAAGTGGTGACCAGTGTGGAGCCCATTGTACATTTACTCGGTTTTTTGAGGGCTCTTCCATCGGTTTTCACTGCGCCGGCTGTACCATGCAGCAACTGGTCAACGTGGAATATGAGTTTAGTTTCGGGTACCGCGTGTTTGGGCGGGCGGGCATCGACACAGTCACTTTCGTATGTGCGGAAGTTCACGGCAACGCCGCCGGACGCAGCATGTTCTGGGATGAAGATTCTTTGAAGGAAGCTTGCGAGAAATGTCTCGCGGTGCAGCCTACGAGAGAAGTGGATGCTACTATCGGCAGAAATAACACGCTTGACTTGGGTGAGTTTAACAGAGTTCAAAAAGGAGCATTAATTTACTGCAGTCCAAAACTTACAGAGTACATTCCACATAGCTCCTCGACATAACTGATGTTGGTAAAGTACGCTGCGCTAGCTTGAACTACGATTTTGGACAATAAAGTGTTTCGTGGGACCAGTACTTAAGCATAATAACAAAATTGTAAACAGTAATTCCATCGTAGTTTTTTGCAGCCGGTGTGGAAGAGACAAGCATGAATGAGCTCCCGCATCCGATTCTCGCACGTGTTCTGCTCGATTTGGATGCCATTACCCAATTGCGAACGGGACGGTAAGCCAGCCGATAAGCTTGTTGATACGAGTACTAATACTTAATCGATATCGGTATTAATATTTATTTGTAAAAAAATACTTAATAGTTAACGATATATGAGCTTGCTTGACTGAATAACACGGCCGCTCTTGTGCTACCTTTCTGTCTTAAAGTCATTGTTGCCTTTTACTAATTAGGTAAAAAAGTAAGAAAGTAAGTAGGCCGCAAAACAGAAAAGTAAAGTATAATCGGACTTGAAACGAGGCTTGAGAAGTAAAAGTAAGCAAAAGTAAAATAAAATAAAAGTAGCCGGCAGCAGCGAAGTTCTGTTTTACATGGCTTGTGGGCGTTTTCCGTAACGTTTGCAATGCAGGTTTTCTGCAGAAAGCGTTACAATTTCCGCAGACGCTTTGAACCGCTTGACGGGAGGTTACGGGGGTTGTTTCTTTTACTGGTTTGGTTAGAAGGCAGAATTAAAAACATTACAAAACAACATAAACAGCATTAAGACCGTCAGAACAGGAACAGTCGACGATATCGACAGCACATTTCTCCGCTGTATTTCATTGCTAAGACGCTTTAGCAAAAACTCATAAGAGCGTCGCTCTCCAGTAGCATCCTTTAACCGTATGCCCAGTTTGCGTAAAAACTTCAAACTTGCTGGGCCGGTGACACCGAAAATCTCAACAGCTAAAGGAGCAAAGCCAACATGGGCTAGGTATTCGTACTTGCGGCGCTTTTCTTCCTACGTGACTGTCAGGCATATGGCATATAAGGACTGTAGAGTGACCGATCAGTGAAAACAGTCGCTTCACTGGCAACACTTCGCTGCCAAATTGCCAATTAACGGTTTTAATACTTTTTTTCAGAAAATTAACTTTACAAGAAACCAAATTGTAACCAAATTCATTCATTAAAACAAATTTATGAACACAAATTAAAATTATCTTGTGTGCGCACTGTTTGAGAGCGCAGGTACTGTATTAAAAATGGCCAAAATAACAACTAAGTACGGTTTACTATTTATAAAACAGCACTACTTTCAGAGTTTGCGCTCTATGGATGCTCCTTTTGGGGAAATCTGCAGACAATCGGCACGTAATTTGGGATACCTCTATGCTTTGCAAGAAATCTAATACTGCAGATTATCCCGCTGCCTGGTTTTGTTACTACTATCAATTTGTAATGTTGGTCGACCGGACTGTCACCCGGCATACACAGACTCTGCTGTTCCGGGAACCCGAAACACATGGTGATCCCAAGAATCACTCTCGTAGATCATTCGCCGACAGAATGTTCATTGCTGCATCGATACTAGAAGCCAAAGGCATCCGCATCCCAAAGATAATCGTCCAGAACGATCAGGATTACTGGTTCGCAGAATACGCCTTCCTGGACCTCAGTAAAAGTTATGATGACCAATCGCATCATTCACATGATTGCTGTGTGCTGACAGCAGCGTTAGCGATCTGTGAAGAGCTCGTGCTAATCAACTACACCGCGTCGGATGCTACCACCATCGGGAGAAA